TGGTTTCTTTTGGTCAATTTGCGTGATTGACACCTCTTTTTAATCGTTTGAGCCAATAGATTCATAGCAATGATGCCACGTTCAACCAATCAGACGTTGTGATGCCAAAACCCACGTGGGCCCATGTGGCGTCTGTTCAGTCACGTGTCTGTAGGTGGGTCTAAAATGGAGGTTGTTGACAGAAAACTGCTCAGATGCGGCTAGGTAGTCGTTGTAACTACTGTTAGTCACGTGGTTACCGGCTACCAGCGAAAATACTGGAGGAAATCAGGACGGTAAGCCAATTTCTGTCTTAGCGCATTTGCACCGCTGTGTGTTTTTGTGGTCTTCTTTTGCGGGTCATTCAGTGAATTTTGGTCTGATCGTGGTGAAACTTGGTGTGTGGAGTCAGTGATAGCTCTGGAAGCTAACCAGCCTATCTTTAGCCGGTTACACAAAGTCTGAAGAATTTCTGGTTCGGTTTTGTTTAACTGTTAATTATGTAACTGCTCGTTTAATCACGGCTTGTTTTCGGTGTGTTTGGTGGTTGTAGAAATGGTTTATATGACATTTTAGCTGAGATTCTGAGGTTTCTGTGGATACCACACATGTCTGGATTTATATTTCTCAACCCGCGTTATAACCATTAAACGTGATCTCCTCCTTTTTGCCCCCGGTACCGGGGGCGTGGGGCTTAAGTGGTTAAATAATAATAACTGGATGTCTATTATAGAAAAAAGGTAATTTCAGAGACACTATATTCATAAATCTGGAAAAACTCAAGGGAAAAAAGCAGCTGCATTTTAGTTATTATTATTATTAGTAGTAGTAGTAATATTACCTATGCTTATTATATACCTGTGATATTTATATTTAAATGTGAATAGAATAGAATTCAACTTTATTGTCATTGCATATGTCACAGGTACAAGGCAACGAAATGCAGGTTGCATCCATCCAGAAGTGCTTTAGCCATGATATAGATATATTACAAATATATATTAGCAATAATATAGATATGTAAGTATATTACAGAAATGGGTATATTATGGTATGTTATAATGTACATGGTATGAGGGTATGTTATGAATATGCTACAACTATAAGTATGTACAGGCTGTAGTGAGTACAGGCTATGAACAGGATATGAATAAAAAAACTACACAGAAATCTGAGATATACAGTTATACAGAAATGTGAACTATGCAAGTTATAAACAGTTGTAGAATTAAAAATTATCGTATGTACAGAATGATTATTTACACAGAATTATACAGTAGTGCAGTTAAGACAAGTGAGGTATGTGGATAGTTTCTACAGAGGCTATATAAAGTGCTAGTGGTTGTGAGTGGTGGCTCAGTCCATGTTATTATTGTGTGTATGAGGGTACAGTTGTCCATTGTGTGTATGTGTAGGTCGTTGTGGGTATGTGTATGTGGATAGTCATCGCTTCATAACATGTACTATTAGGTACATAAGCATCACCTCTGAGGCTAAAATTATCAGTGCAAGTCTGAAGCTCATGAGGTTTTAGAAACTCGAAAAGGAATGAGAATACAAAGAAAACTTAGACATAGATGAAAAAATGTGTTGGCTTCTAAAACAGAGAATGGGATACAGAGGGACCTTCAAATGCTTGTCTTCAAGTTGGAGCATCAAATGGCTATTTTTTTCTGTAATTTGTAACATTTCTTTCTGTCATTGCCTTTCTCCACACATTTTCTTT